ATTGCTTGACCAGTTCATTAATATATTGACTCATTTTTACTTTTTTTGGAAACAACCTATGCGTTAGGAAAAACACCCACACCTAGCAAGACGCAAGGCAGAGTAAAATAGGAACACATACTCATTTTTACTTAACTCATTTGGTGTGATGTTTGTTATTACCATTAGATGCCAAAAAGAAAGGACGAGTAAACATTAAAATGATCTTACCCAAACTCTTTTTAGGGCCCCTTCTCCTATATTTCAATGTTACAAGGTTATGATATATATGGATAATAAGGAATCAGGAAGAACCAATGGGGAAAGGTAAGAAAAAATAGAACTTCATCACAAATTGGTGGTATAAGCTAAAGTTGGAACTTATTAAAAACTTGATTTAGAATACCGAAAACATAAACTTTTTTTTAATGTATTTTAGTAAATATCACTACCTTTTGGTTAAAGAGGCTATAAGATTAAAATGTATTATTTTCTCTTATTATTTTACTATTGTTAATAGATGTTCCATTCTTGGTTCGTAATCTTTTGTTAATATTATAAATGTAATTTGTATTTATAATGTTTTCTTACTCTCATTTTTCCCAAAGTATGCAACTATGCATTCACATAATTGAGACATAATTATTTAATATTTACATAATGTTTAATTTGTTTCATAATAATATAGATTGTGATCAATATAATGATATGTGAGACTAATATGGAGCATGCAAGTTTGCCATTGTTTTTCCATTTAGTTATATACTCCATAATTGTAGCTCAAAGTTTGTTTTGAATATATATAGTTTAGTGTACTAAACAAACCTACTGTATAAATTTTGATATGTATGTAGGTAAATAGAAGAAGGGGAATTGTGGGATTGGGCATTATGAATGTGCATGCTACTTCATTTGTTTGTTTTTAAAAGAAGTCAAAATTGCTTCATCGTGATAACGTGTTATTTTGTATACATTAATGATTGTATTTAGTAAATATGTAAGAACTACTCAAAATAAGAATCATAATAGTTGGACATGAGAGCCATAATAGTTGGACATACGACATGCCAAAAGTTCTAACTTATTTCTAAACAATTTTTGACTTCAATAACCTTAATATTTGATATATAAATTGTCTAGAAAAAAATAAAAAAGAAATAATATAAATTTTAGAACTTAAGATGGTCTTTTTATTTACCTACTATGTTAAATACTAATTAAATCTATTTTAATTTTAATAATATTTATTTTAGAATCTTTGTTATTTTTATACATATTTAATATCATTTAAAATGAAATTATTATAATAACTATGAATATATTATGGTTTATGAGTTTAATAAAAAAGATTAAAGTGATGAGGCCATGTTAAGGGGAGCTAAAAAAGTAAAAATCATGGTATTTGTTCTTAATTTGATTTTTTAGACAATTAATACATAAAATTACATTCATTTAGCCGGTTTTCATTTAGTTGATTTTATTTGTTGCATGATTATAGACGGGTTAAAAACTTTTTAGAAAATTAAAAGTAGAAAAATGTTGTTAACTTACATCATGAAAAACAGTGAATTTTCAGAAAAATGACTTCGGCATCCAAGATGTTACAAAGAGTAAAATGAAAGTAGTTAGATGTAATTAATAGTTCAGTAATATTAATTAGTGATGAAATTTTACAATTTAGTCTTATTGGAATTTTTATAATTACCATTAGACTGTTTCTCACCGACCGTGAATTTGATTAGATTACGATTCAAAAACAATATCGTATGTTTCTTTTTAACCGAAACATACTTATACTTTTAACAAAAAACATACATTTCTTTTTAGTCGACATATTTGTATATTTGGAATACGACATGTTGTCGAAATGAAACCAATGTCCAAAGGAAAACTAATCGTTATCGCTGCATCGCATGACCTTTATGTGACATTGTCAAAAAGGAAATCACATGGAAATTGAAAAATATTAATGAAGCCTAGAGGAAAATTCAAAGGTAATGAAGCCTATACATCAAATGTGGTGCATAAAGAAGTGTTCGCACGATTAATAATGCACATTCAATCATCTGTACATGTACATTAATAAAAAATCCCAACTTTTTATTTTTAATTGTATTGATTTCGTTTCTGCTAGCATGACTCTTATTGATAATTGTATAGATGTAACAAACTATTTGGACAAAAAACTAATCGCTTGTAGAAATTAATTTCTGAAAACTATTCGTACCCGTCGCTTGGCACGGGTATACGACTAATATATATATATATATATATATATATATATATATATATATATATTAGAAAGGAAAATGAAAAGGAAAAAAAATGTATATGAAATAAAGAAAAATCTATTCACATAAGAAAAGAGAAAAAGATAATATATCTCAATCAATATGTCATGTCAAATTGGGTTTTAAGAAAAAATGGTTTTGACCCAAATTTTGGGTGCCATTAACAACACCCAAGGTGGTAGTAGAGTTCCGTTGAATACTATGTGGTATAAGTGTATAACTATGGTTAACATAACCTTCGTTAATGTAACCATTGTTAGCATAACCCTCTTTACATAACCATGGTTAGAGCTATAAACGACGGCCGGAATAAGAGTATGACGACTCCGGTGACCCTATTTTTACTTAACTTCATTATAATCTAATCATTATTGTTTTATTATTTAATAACATTTTTATTATTAAATTTATTAAAAATTAATAACTTTAAACTTAATTTTTGTTAAGGTAATAGAAACACAATAATATTGTTTTTATAATATAATAATATAAATAACATTATTAAAAAAGAAAAAGTGGCAAACAGTGGGTAAAAGAATCTATGAATGGGGTAGTTTTTTGCCATCTGATTAAAAGTAAAAGGGCAAACAATGGTAAAAGAAAAAAAATCACAAATCGTGTACACATGGGTATTAATGAGAATCTTGATAAAGTTTTATGTGTCAATATTCATTGGAAATGGTTAAAATAGAGTGGTGTGCAGGTAAAACTAGAGTGGTGTTTTAAAAGAAAAACCCTTTTGATTATACGTTGATATCAGGAAAAAAATCACAACAAGCCTGCTTCGTATATTGCCTAGAAGTCCTTCAATGGCATGTGGTGCAACATCTCCAAGGCTATTAACTATCTCACATCGTTTAATATTGATCAGCATCAACTATTCTCTCTCATACCAGGATTCGATGTTAAAATCCTTTTTTGGAAGGATGTTTGGTGTGGGAACACTCCATTTCATCTAAGATTCTCTCACTTATATTTATTAGAAACGGTTAAATGTTGTAATCTTGTTGATCGAATGTCCAGCAGTGGATTCTCTTGGAGATGGAAACAAGAGTCTTCCAAACCAAATGAATTACATGAGTTACTTCAAATGTATAAAGATATTGGAGAAATGGGTAGTTTTGAGAATTCATCATTTGGATTTCGATTTGAAATGACTGAAAGCGGAGAATACAAAGTTAATCTCATGAGAAAGATGATAGATTCTAAACTGATTTTCTACAAGGGACATAAAATCTGCTGGTTAAAATTGATCCTCTTAAAAGTTAGATGTTTTGTTTGGAGGGCATCGATGGGTAGAATTCTGGTGGCCGAATGATTAGCAATTAGGGGAATACAACACTCTCATCAGATATGTTCATTATGCAATAATGATTCAGAATCGGTTGATCATCTTCTTGTCAATTGTGAGTTTGCGAAAGAAGTACAAGCCTGGATCTTTAAATGGTGTGGATTGTACAACAGGAGATTCTCAAACGTCTTAGATCTTATTGATTTCGCTGCCTCCTGGGGTAATTGTCCTAAAAAGAAATCGATCGGGAGCACGGTGATTTTCTGCCTTCTATGGAACATCTGGTTGGTCAGAAATGATAAGGTCTTCAGAAATACTATTGCATCTCCAACAAAAGTAGCCGATAATATCATCTCTATGTCATATACATGGTGCAAGCACAGGAGTCCTCATGGTTGCGGTAGTTAGGCTGAATGGAGTTGTTCGCCATTTGCCCATCTAAGTCTTATCACATTGTAATTGTTTTTTTTTATGTTTCTCGTTTCTGTACTGTATTATTTGGTCGCGATTTAGTTTCTTGCTAATCATTGATCCTTTTTAATGATATTTGCCGTTTCCAAAAAAAAGATATCGTGTACGTGTATGGGTTTTGACTTTTGACCATGATATTCAAGCTTGTTGACCAACTCTACGTCTCTACTACCATCTTTGCCGCCACTATCACCGCCAACCGCCAACATCTCGTCTTTTTTTCTTCTCACCACCATCAACACTTATTTTTTTATCATCCCCCTTCATCTTTCTTTCTTTTTTTTTTTTTCTTTTTTTTTTTTTTCACTTTTCTAGTCTTCACCTTATCATCTTTTTTAGGAAGTACAATATGGACATTTCCTTTTAACTTTTGTTTCAAGTACAGTGCAAGTTCTTTCACGTCCATTGTCCTTTATTTCACCATGATCAAATCCTTGCTGGCATCCGGTATTACTGATTCTACCCCTATTCACAATCAACAAAAAAGAATATTAATTCCAAATATTCGAGCATTTTATTTGTACTTGTAAAAAAAGTATATTTTTTTATTTTAAAAATGATTATTGTTTTCGATCAAAATACCAAATAAAATTATAACAAAAAGGATTTATTGTTGAAAAATAAGTGATACAGTGCGTTTAATTTTGTGTGCACATCCCCCACAATGAAGTGGAATCTTCAGCATCACCATGCTCTATTGAATATGTAACTATCTAGAAAAATAAAGATAATAAACTAAAAACCCATAATCAAACTCTTAAACCCATAATTAACAGATTAGTTTAATCAATTTGCAGTATCTCTTTGGGATTTTTTTAGCATGTCTTTTTCTCATCGGATTTTTTTCTCCGGCAACTTATCACCACCCTTCTTGTCGTCCTTTTTCGGTTGAGGAGAGATAATCTTCACCTTCTTCTTCGTCTTGTGTTCTTCTCGCTCCTTGAAGCTCGAAGGGTCCACCTTCCCGGTCAAGTCAATTTGTCGCCGTCAATATTGGCATGCTTAATTAGATTCAACACCTGCAATCACACTATGAGTAATCAAATAAACATATCTACTTCTTATAAGAATTTTGAGATCCAAATTGATACAATTTGTACCTTCAAGTGACGGATGAATTTTGTGACTTTCTTAGCGCGGCCGTCGCAACGCAAAATTAAGACAACCAATTACCAATTAAATATGATGGCGTTTACACAAATATCAAAATTTAAGGGTTTTTTTAAAATAATTTTTATTCTTATTTTTTTATTAACTTATTATAATCTTAATGTAATATTTATTGTAGGGCACAAAATATTATTATATTGTATTTCTTTGTTTTAGATGTTTTAGAGATGATATTATCTTATAATATTTTCTAAAGTAAAAATAATAATTTAAAAATTAAAAAGAATAATCTTTTAAAAAACCTATGTCAAACAAATGATATCAAAGTTGTTGAAACTGTGATTCTGATTTTAAGATTATGGATCCTACGAGCCCACCTATGTAAATTGATCTTAATCATATTTGGGTAAATTAAGAGTATGATCGTAGGATCGGATCGTAAGATCGTTACAGTTTATTTATTTTCTTTAAAAAATATAATATTTAATTTTGGACTAACTAAGTGCATCAAATATGAACCCTAATCAATCCTATGGATCGAACCTACGATCACGATTTTGCAAAGTGGAAAATGATCGTATATAAGATTTCAGTCTTGATGACTTTTCGAATGATATCAAATATTAGAAAAGTATAAAAAACAATTATTTTTAGAAGAAAAAAATATTTGCATAGTAAATATTTTCTGTCAAATAAATAAAATATCATATAATTTAATTAAGATAATACAATTCGTCTCACAAAATACCTGCAAATGTTTTGAACATCTTAAAACTTTTGCACATATTTTACATTTGTAGATTTTACACTGAAACACCTTTGATCTTTCTTCAAAATATCACATCACATTTACGAAAAAATATATTGAGATAATAATATAAAAAAAACGCTTAAATTTTGATCATCCTTACAGAAAATCATCATAATTAGTTGATGACCGGTTTACAAGGTAAAAACCCAAAATTTTAAACAACTGCAAGTTTTTTAGGCTTCATTGGAAACAAAAAAAAAAAAAAAAAAACCCTTTATTGGGCACATGTCCAAGACAAAGAAAAGGGTTGATAATTATCAGTTAACTATGCCATGTTTTAGGGTTTATGGAAGTTTCGTAATTATAGGATTTTTCGTATTACCTTTATCAATCCAACAAATGGAGCGGATTATATCAAATCGTTAGCATTCACGTGGATCAAATACAGGGGTAAAAAGTCATTTGTAATTGGAAGGATTTGTTAGCATCTCCTTTTTCTTATATGTAATTGTTAAAAAAATTTCATGTTTGTTCATTTTTTGCCCCTGCTTTGTTTCTTGCTCAGTTTGGGTGTCTCATATAATTTGGCCGTTTACAAAAAAATAAGTCTGAAAATTTCCAATTATATTTTCAAGTAATTATACATTTATTGCGCTTTTGAAAATTTCCAATTGTATTTTCAAGTAATTATACATTTATTGATTTCAACAAATCGCTTTTGAAAATTTCCAATTGTATTTTCAAGTAATTATACATTTATTGATTTCATCAAATCGCATAAACAATGAATCCATAATAACAAAAAAATTAATAAAACTAACATATATTAGGAAAATCTATGGGGTCATTAGACAGTATGAACTCTACCTATACAAATCATGAATCTCATTGAATCAATTAGACTCTAATTAGAAATATGATCGTTGATAAATCTGGTTTACATAACTGAACAAGCGTTAGGGTTTTCATCACTGAACATTCCTGTATCTGGAACACGAGAGTCGTGAAGGTACATAGAAGGAGGTGGTGGAGGTCCGTTTGAATACTGTGAGGCATAACCATGGTTAACATAACCCTCGTTAATATAACCATGGTTAACATAACCTTCGTTTAAAAGACCATGGTTATAAGAAGTTGAAACCCCATAATCTTGATTGTAATAACTTTGATTATACGTTGGTATCGTGTATGTGTATGGGTTTTTACCATGATATTCAAGCTTGTTGACCAGCTCTAAGCCTCTACTACCATCCTTCCCACCACCATCACCACCAACCGCCTTCCCCTCTTCTTTTTTCTTCTCACCACCACCTAAACTTTTTTCTTTTATTTTCTTATCACCCCCTTCATCTTTCTCCTTTTTGTCATTTTTCTTGTCATCACTTTTATCATCTTTTTTAGGAAGGATAATATCGACATCTCTTTTTAATTTTTCTTTCAAGTATGGTGCAAGTTCTTTCACGTCCATTGTCCCTTTCACCATGATCAAATCCTTGCTGGCATCCGGTATTACCGATTCTACCCCTATTCACAATCAATGAAAAGAAATATTAATTCCAAATATTCTTGCATTTTATTTGAACTTGTACAAAAAGTACATTGAACAATAACTGACCTTTGATCTTTGATATGGTTCGTTTAATTTTATGTGCGCATCCATCACAATGGAGTGGGATCTTCAACATCACCATGCTCGATTGAATCTATAATAACCAGAAAAATAAATTTAATTAACTAAAAACCCATTAATCAAACTCTTAAACCATAAAAACATATTAGTTAATCAATTTGGATTACATCTTTGGGTTTTTTAGCATCTGTCTTCTTCTCATCGGATTTTTTCTCCGGCGACTTATCATCACCCTTCTTCTCGTCCTTTTTCGGCTGAGGAGAAATAATCTCCACCTTCTTCTTCGTCTTATGTTCCAATCGCTCCTTAACGCTCGTAGGGTCCACCTTCCCGGTTACAGTCAGTTTGTCGCCGTCAATATCGACATTCACAGATTCAACACCTGCAATGACACCATGAGTAATCGAACAAACATATATACCCCTTACGAAATTGAGCGACTCAAATTTGATAAAATTTGTACCTTCAAAATGACGGATGGATTTTGTGACTTTCTTAGCGCAGCCATCGCAATGCAAATCGAGTTTTAAGACGACGGTGATGGAACCGGCGTCGGACTTCTTTGCGCCGCCTGCATCAACCGGTTTCGTCTTCCCGGCATCCTTCTTCTTATCATTCTTCTTAAAACTAAGCATGCCCATTTGGATCTACGGTTAATGTAGGGATGATGTTGGGAATCCGATTTGAAGATAGAAAAATGGATGTAATGTTGGGAATTTATATATGGGAGTTAGTTGAATCATGAATGTATGGATGATGGATGATGGTAGACAGGAAGTTTGACCGTCGTTGGGTGTCTATATTTGACGGGCGGGTTACTTCTTGATCCGATATATTGAATTTGACCAAATATTTGGACCAAATACTGAATTGTACGCCGGCTTTCTCTATTGGGTTGTGGATGGGTCAAAGTCAAATTTTGGATCATCAACTGTAATTCCACACATGAAAAATAGAATTTGTCTTTGTTAATTTGATGATTAGTTCTGTTATAAAAGCTTAAATTATTTTTTTAAAAAAAAAACCCATAAATCTTGTTATATGTTTTATTTTGAAAATCGATCCTAACTTAATGTAATTAAAAACAGCTAATTTGAGATATATATAGGTTTGTTAACATTTTATATAATTTTAAAACATTTAGAAGTTGAATGAACTCGGTTGTCATTTTTTAAATGACCAAAAAAAAAATGTGAGATTGATTAAACATGTTTTAGTAAGAAGAATTTGATTGTTGACAAAATTACAAATGATATTCTTTAAATGTCGTTTGTTTTTCTAGATAAATGGAGTAACCCATTCTATTCAAATTGTTCAAAAATGCAAACCTTGTTTTTCTTGTAAAGTTCGACATGAACACTTTGTTTGTCCATACCTAATAGCTGATGCATCTCTCCAAATCATTTGATCATCATATATGGATTCCCTTTTCCATTGTGAATTGTGATTATTTCGTTAGCCGATACATTTTAATGACTTAAATCTTGCACCATTTGAGGCTCCTGGTTATAACTTTGGGTTTTTTGGTTTGTGGTTTGCAATATGTATTTTGTTTGTTTGCGAATTGTGATCACAGAATTGAGTCATATTCTTGTTTCTTTCCATTTGTGATTATCAAATATGAGTTTTCGACTTTTGAGGCTCCTAATCATCTTATCTAAATATAGGTTTTTCTTTGGTTATGAATTGTTGGGGTTCTGTAATTGTGAAATTTTTTCTTGACTTTAGAGGCTATAATGGAATATAAATTAAATAATAAGTTAATAGTGATCTACAAACTTAAAGTTCACAAATGTCACTATAAATTGGTTTTGAAGTTCCCTTTTGTCTTATATAACATTATGTTTTGTATTTTATATGTGGGAAAATCTAAATAAAGAGTATTATTCTTTTCAGGTAATTTATACATATTGATAACATGTATATTTGTTGTGTTTTGTATGTTATATTTTACCCTCTAAATTATACTAATCTTCAACTTTAGTATTTTTAATTAATTAATTTTTCATTTCAATCTCCAATATTAAATATTATATTCATAATAGTCATATTTATAATTTTATCCTTCAAAACGTGTTAATTAAATATTGTGCGACGAGATAATACAACATATGGACATTAGATTCAATAGTATGTATTTTTATTTCATGTATTATAATATATTGATTTTTTAATGTTATTGTGAAGTTTTTATTTATTTATTTTATTTTTAAATATGACAAGTATTTAAAAAGTAATAGAAATTATTGGATGAGTTTACAAATTATTTTATAAAAATAAAATAAATTATCTAATTTAAAAAAAAAACCTTTAAGAACAATAAGATAGATTTAATTTAATAAGTTTTTGTTTGTCAATGTTATTGGAAAGCTAATATATATTAAAAAAGTTGATTCTTAGACAATAAAATTTATCTTTATACACAACAATTTGTATTTTAAAATGCTATATTGTACAACATCATAAAAGATATATTGTTATATATTTTTTTTTATACAAATCACCTCCATACCTAATAAAAAAGTTATTTTGGTGCCACATGACATTTTTTAGTCCCTACATTTACAAAGTGGAATGTCATTTTGCCCCTTTACTCCTTTACATTCTCATGACATGAAATCTAGCCCATATAATCAAGGATTTTTTGTTAATTCTATTTGAAATAAATCGGGAGTAACTGATATGTATCCCAAATAATTAGGGATTTTTTTATTTCCTTTTAAATCCCATTTGAAAGATTTCACAAGAAAAAAATACATAATCTTCTCCAAATTTAAAGTCCATTAGCTACGGCTTCAAAATTTGTTGCATGTTGCACTGTTTCATCTTCTCTCATTTGTTATCATACCACCGCTCCATCATTTTGGCATATATAATCGACCCACACCCCTCATCCTGTTGCACCGCTCTCCATATATAGTCTCTCTTTTGCTATGTTTTTTCTGTTTGCATTTAGTTTCGAGACTTTTAAAGATTTCAAACTTGATGATATTCTTGGTTTCTTTTCTTCGAGTTGTCGTTCTTTGTTTGTCTCCTCATCCATCGTAGTTGAGCAAAAAAGGGATTCTCCAAATAAACTTCAACAATGTTGTGTGTTGGAGTAAATCAACAGTACATATGATTTTGTTATGCTCGAATTCCAGGTAATAGTCTCAAACCCATATATTATTTGAAATTTAGAATTTTTTGGTTTTTTCCAAGGAGCACTCACGTTTTAGGTAACTGGTGTCTTCATCTTTACTTGAAATTTAGAACCGTCAAAGATGATTTGCATGCAATAGATAGTTTTAATGACATTAAAGGTTTAAGCCATATGTTCGATTTGAGCGAGATAAAGAGCCACCATTTCCAAAATTGTTAGCTTAGGTCAATATTAAAGTTACTTTTGATCTATATTTCTGCATTAATTTATTTTTTATGTGGATTTAGATTACCCATTTTTTTCCACATGCTTCGAAGTATGTAAATCTGTAAATCTGTAAATTGTTATTAGTATAATTTTGAAATTCATATGCAATGTTTGGCTTATTACTCTTTTTGGATAATTTTAAATGCTATGATGTAATTGTTGGATTAGATGTCTAAGCCAATAACTAAATTAATATATACTTGAATTATCAACAAAGTCCTTTTGGATTGCCCTCAAACCTAGTAATTGAATATGATAACTTTTAGAGAAAGAGATTGATTTATTAATTTATTATATGATTACTAATTTATTTAGAAATCAAAATAAATGTTGTGTTAATATATAAGAAATAATATTATTTAATTAAGAATTAATCAGAAATTAATTAGAATTAATTTTGGGATTAATTAAAAATGCAAGGACCTAAGATGTAATTGTTCAATAGTTGAACAAAAGGCATTTCAAAATCTTCTGTAAGGTGGTGGACGATTATGGGATGATTATCGGGTTCTAGAATATCTCTTGGAGATAATTAGGAAACCAGATAAATACCTGATTTAAAATATTATTATTTTAATCAAGTAATGCTTATCTAGGTTTTTTCTATTACCTATAAATAAGGTCTTCTAGCTTCATATTTTCGTCCAGTTATTCTTTTAGAAGGATAGCCAAAAATTACTTCCTCTCTTCTCTCTTCAAGTCTCTTTGGTTGCTAGGGTTTGGGTGTGGACCATCAAAGGCACAACACTTGTGGTGCTTGCTTCCAAGAGTATTTCAAGAAGGTTTTGATTAGTTATTTACTACAATAACTAAAAGGTATGTAAACCCTAACTTGTTTATGATTTTTGAAATTAGCATAAGACTCATATAGTTCTTGTTGTTCAATAGAATGTTACTTCAATAGTGTTATTGTGACATCCCCAAATTTCACGGCCAGAAAATACCGATTTGTTTATTGTAACATCCGGATTTTCAGGGACATTATTGTGTATGTTAATCTTGAGATTTAAGGAGGGACTCGACGAGTTGAGGGACCAACTCGCCGAGTCGAGTCAAGATTGCCGCGTGGATTTAATGAATGGACTCGACGAGTCAGAGGAGGGACTCGCCGAGTAGGTGCTGGGCAAAGAAACCCTAATTTCCCGTGTTTGGGACCTATTTAAAGGCATTTATAGCCTCAATTGCGGCCACCTTCCCCCTGAGAAACCCTAGAGAGCAGAGAGAAAGCTTGTAGTGCAAGAGGAGGGCTAATTCATCATTCTTTGGTGTGTTTTAGCAAAGGGAAGGAAGGATTTCGAGCTAGGCTGACTTGTGGGACTCAAATCTTCCATCATTTCGTTCAGAGCTGCTGTGGGAGGTAAGGATTCATGTCTATCTTCATTTGAGTAATAGATTTCATGAATCTAGGGTTTCATCTCTTCACTTTGGTAAGAGATCTAGTGTGTGTGATGTCCCCTGGTGACAATATTATCATATCTGGACCTTGAGAGGTCCAGAGAGTCCCTATTCTTCAGCTTTATGCAATCCTTTATGAGTTTTGGGGCCTAGGTTATTATATTAAGGGTTATTTTGGCATATAGAGATGATAGTGTGATGCATGGGCCTAAAGTTCGAACCTTTACGTGAATTTTGAGTGCTAGAAGGTTAGATCTACTAGTTGGTGAAGCAGATCTGACCTCAGAAGGTCGTTTGAGTGTTGCCATGGAAGGAACTCGCCGAGTCCATAAGGGGACTCGACGAGTCGAGTCGGGTTGACCCACGATTCATGACCAGTGGTGACTCGTCGAGTGGAAGGTTCGCTCGGCGAGTCGAGTGAGGTTAGATAGACCCAGAGGACACACTTGGACTCGCCGAGTCACCTATGTGCACTCGACGAGTCTGGTCAAAGTTGACCGTTGACTTTCGTTGACTTTTAGGGTCCAGTCAATGTTTGGACTTTTGAGCCATTGGAGGGGTAAAATGGTCTTTTACCCTCCTGAGAGAACTTAGAGAGGAAATAGCCTAGCCTTTGAGAGTCGTATTGATTAGAGTAATTATTTTTATGTGATTAGGCGGAGGCTAGATCAGTGTTTCCGAGTTCGAGATTTACTGAGTTACCCGAGGTGAGTCTTCTCACTATACTTTACCTAGAGTGGTAATTAGAGTTGTGTGACAGAGTACCTTGTATGCTATATATATGATGTGATACACTGCATTATTTCTATGTGATTTATGCTATGTATTCTACAGAGTTTACAGAGTTAGGGCCGGAAGGTCCACAAAGTTAGGACCAGAGGGTCCACAGAGTTATAGCCTCGAGTGGCTAATACGTGCTGTATGTGGTATTTTGGGGAACTCACTAAGCATTTATGCTTACAGTGTTATGTGTTATGTGTTTCAGGTACTAGTGACGATCGCAGGAAGGCGCCGGCATGATCCGTACACACAGACCGAGGATTTTAATTGTGATCTTGGGATATGTTTTATTTGATGACAATTGTTGAACATGAGATTTGAGAATGTTTAAATGATAATCATGTTGTTTGAAAAATGAAAAATTGTTTGAAAATTTACGTCATTACAAGTTGGTATCAGAGCCTTAGTTTGAGGGATTCGGACGCACCTTCGGGCGTATCTGAACTCAAACTGAGGATTTGAGGAATTTTTCGTAATAAAACAATTTTTCTAAAAAGAGTAAAAGGTTTTGAGACGAGCAGAACAGAGCAGTGTGTACGGTCAGCCAGCGCCCGAACGGTGATTTCCCAAAAATACCCTTACATTATGTATTATGAGATATTATGTGATATACTATACATGCTAGAGATAGGCTAGGTATTTCATATTTTAGGACTAGAGCGGCCTGATTTGTGATGCCTTAACCTAGGAGTTGATGTTATATGTGATGTGCCTTCGAGTATGAGTATCTAGCAGGAATCCTGTTAGAGAGGGATCTGAGTAGAGGAGTAATCTAGGCGAGATACCTAGATGAGCATTTGAGGAGTCTACTGAGAGAATAGTCATATGCCCGAGCGGGGTAAAGTTGCTTGAGTTCGGTGATATCCTTTGAGTATGAGGAGAGCAAGTGGGTAATAACCTAGAGTGATTTTACATGTTGGTAGAGATTATTCGATGCCCGAATGCTGCTTGCTTCGTATTTTGTGGAACTCTTGATGATGAGAGTCACCTACTAAGTGAATATGACGATATTCAGG